ACTGGGGGGAAATAATAATAGTGGGAATGCTTCCTGCCATGGAGAGTTCTGCTGATTTTGAGTAGGCAGCCCAGGACACCATGGAGAAGGCTGAGAAGGTTCTGCATCCCCCAGCAGGATGGTGGGAGCCAGAGACAGGGATAGGGATAGGAACAGCAACAGGGATAGGGATAGGAACAGCAACAGGGATAGGGACAGAGACAGGGATATAGATGGGACAGGAATAGGGACAGGGGTAGTGTAGGGTAAGATAGGACATGGGTAGGACAGGGATGGGATAGGATAGGGATAAGGGAAGATAGAATAGGATAAAATAAAAATAGGATAGGAAATTAATAGGAAAGCAATGAGAAAGAAAATAGAATAGAATAGAATAGAATAGAATAGAATAGAATAGAATAGAATAGAATAATGAAAAATTCAAACTAAAAAATAATACAAACTATATGACAAAAGAAAAAAAAATCTCATCATTTTAAACCCCAGCTCTGTAATCTCAGGAATTTTGGTGTGTATAATTTTGGCCTGTGATTCTACCCTGGAACCTGGAGGTTGACACTTCCCTGTCAGAACCTGGAGGATTTTGTGATGCCCAAGGCCAGCCCTGAGGCATCCCTGCCCCCACTGACCTGCAGACAGTTTCTGTTCCTCAGCAATCTGCTCCAGCCGGCCCAGGAGAGCATCAATGTTAGATTTGATCTGTGTCAGCTCCGTTTTGATTGTCTGCAGCTCGCTGCTCTTCACTTGTGGGGAGGAAGGAAGGAAAGGAAGGCACTCAGAGCCCTGCAGAGCAGCCCCACCCCACACCTCCCCCAGGGCAGCTCCCTGAGCAGGCAGAAACAACAGGGAGGAGCTCCAGGCTGGGAACTGGCAGGGAAGCTGGGAGCTGCTCCCCAAAGAACCTGGGGGTGCTGTGTCCATGCAGGCTGCAGAGGCCAACTCCAGGCTTTGGCACCCTTAGGCTATATCTGCTCTATAGCTCCTCCAGAACTTTACACTAATATTTACACTAAAAATTTTTGAAAGCAAATAAAATCATATCAAATTGGAACTTCTACCTTCCTGAAACACCCTTGGAACCCAAAGGAGCAGAGTTCCTGGGTTCAGTGAAACTGGATTTTTATGTTAATTTTAAATACACGGGAAGAAATCAGTCTGAAACTTTTAAAACGTTTCTCTTTATCACCCTGTGTTTAAGAATCAAACCTTTTGGTACAATTACACTTCTGGCAGCCTTTCTAAATCCAGTAATGCAGCTGCCACCAGGAATGTTTTTAGTTTGTAAAGATCAAGCCTGAGCCTTTTAGTGGCTGGAGTGGAGTAAGTACATAAGCAGCTGTACCCCGCAATAAATTCGGATTCTTTGACCATCACACCAAATCCGCGTCTCTCTCTCCATCGCCCACCCTGCACCTTCCCCGGTGCAGCTCCCAGGTGTCCTGGGGCGTTTTTGGGAGCTCGCTGTGCCGTGCCCAGCCCTGGCCCCTACTCACACTTGAGCTTGGCCGAGCTGTTGGCGATGGCGGCCGACCTGGCGAAGAGCTTGACGGGCAGCGAGGCCTTGACGCGCCGCACCAGGGGGATGGTGACGCGCGGCCGCTTCACCGGCACCACGCGCGGCACCGGCGACACCCGGCCCCGGTACTCGAAGATCCTGAGGGGAAGGGAGGCCAGCGGAGGCCGTGGGGAGCCCCGGCGATTGCCGTGCCGCCCCACAGGCTGCCCCCAAACCCTCCTGCCCCCAAACCTTCCTCCCGTCCCCACCCCACACAGCCCCTCGCGCCGGGATCTCACCTGTCGTAGAAGTCGTCTCTGTAATAGTCATAGTCGAAGTCGTAGCCACTGCAGAGACAGTCAGGGCATCGGGGGTTAATTAGTGCTGGTAATTCATTGCTGTTGCTCCCTCACTGTGTATTTCAAGGATAAATAAATGGATCCCGTTCATGAGGGACTCTGTTGGCCCAGGGGCAGGACTGGGGGGCTGAAGGCAGGGGAGGGTGGTGTTGGCACAGGGGTGTTAACCTGCTTGTCCCAAGGAGGAGCAAGAAGATGTGTGCGGAGAAAAGTCGGGACAAAGGGGTTATTTATGGGGATATCCATTGATTTAAACCTCTCCCCCCACCATGTCCTATTTTCTTAAGCCTGAGCTGCATTTTAAGCCAAAGTAGGAGCATTCCCCACTCCCTGGAGACCCAGTAACACTTTCCCCCTTGCTGCAGGCAGTTTTTCACAAGGCAGCACAAAGCAGGTGGTTTGACCCCACACTCTGGAGCAGCTGCCCCAGCTGAACACAGGACCCTTCCCTGGTGTGCTGGGCTCATCAGCACTGGCCAGTTCAGACGTGATGCTGGTGGTCTCCTCTCTGCTCTGAACAAACAGAATTAGTGCAGCCCCAAAAAGCAAAGTCTGTCCTGCCTCCTGGAAGTGGCTGAAAAGAATGAGACATAGGTGGGGGAGAGGAAAGGGCTGAGCCACGAGGCACTGGGGACAGGGAAGGATGGCCACCCAAGAGTGTGGCTGAGAGGTAATCTGATGTCCTGCATCTTTGACAGAAGTGGCCAGAACAACATGTGCCTGACTGGGATGGCTGGTGGGAAGCGTGGTTTGGACCAGGAATTCCAGGTCTGTCCTGCTTATTGTGGCACTGAGCTTCCCAGCCAGGGCTCAGTTTCAGTAACTGGCTGGTTTCTGGAAGATGATTTTTCCACACTCCCTGGGTTCCCCAGATGCCTGGGGCAACATCTGGAGACCCAGCCTGTGCCCAGGGGGGACCTGAGCACCTGAGCACAGCTGCTCTGGGGCCCAAGAGCTGATGCCAGGGTTAAGGACAAGGAGGTGGCTCGTGCACCTCCTGCCCCAGTCATGCCCTGCCCTGGGGACTTCAGTGAGGAGACATTCCATAAAGCTGGGCCTTATCCCTGAGCAGCTGCTGCCTGTGGCATTCCCAGCTGGCTGGGGATGGGATGGGATGGGATGGGATGGGATGGGATGGGATGGGATGGGATGGGATGGGATGGGATGGGATGGGATGGGCAGTGCAGGGTCTCACTGCTGAGCAAGGAGAGATGTGACTGTGGAGGTGTGATCACCACAACCCTCCCAGATTCCACTGCATGGTGGAAAAGAGCCATTTTTGACAGACAAATTCCAGATTCTTTTCAGGCCTTCCTCTTTTGATCTGAGTTGTAGCCAGCATTCCTGCTGGGCTCAGAGGAGACGGGAACATCCCACAGCCTCTGTCCAAACCTGTGCCTCATCTATGTTTATTTATTCCCTCTCTAGATTGCAAAGGAAAGACAATTCCTCCCAGGGCAGCTGCTGCTGGAATGAACCCAGCTGTCTGTGGGGCTGAGGGGATGGAGATCACAGAACAAGGCACTTCCATGGAGCTTTTCATGATGGGTAACTGGATTTTTGTTCTAACCCAGAGTGAAACCTGGAGATACAAAAACCCTCCAAGAAAATAGCTCCCCTCAGCCTGCCAATTCACTTTGATCATTGAGGATGTTTGACTCCAGGTCTGTTTGAATCCAATAAATACAAAATACCATCAAAATAGGAAGCCATTTGAAAGGAAAATTGAAGTAGGATGCTTCTAAGCTGTCAGACTCTCCCTCTTCAATTTTTTCCCCTCCTCAGATGCAACTCAGATGAAATTGCTGCAATTTTGTAATATTTTCAATCCTGACAGGCTCTGGTGAAGTGCTTCTGGCTCTCTCCAGCTGAGCCAGTGTTGTCCCCAGCCCCAGGTTAGAGGAGACAGTGCAACTTCCCTGTGGCTCCAGGGCTCCCCGAGGGATGAAGCAGAGCCTTCATCCACACCACAAACTCCCTCTGATACCTTGGGTTTTAAGCTTTTCTGTTCTGTTTTGGTGTGCAGCTTTTAGCTTTATATTAAGTGCTACTAGGATCTTCTCACAGGCTGGTGAAGACAAAACAATCCTGTTCTAGCTGGAGACTCAAGGACAATCTCTTCAAACTTCAGGCCCAAAGCACAAACAATGTGGGAAGAGGAGGACAGGCAGGCAAGGAGGATGAAACTTCATCATTTGAAGCTATTAACTGGGCAGTTCACTCCTATACGCAAATGGACTAAAATTTATAAAACTGTGAGACCAAGCCCTCTTTTGCTTTCATCTTGGAGCCATCTGGGCAGAGCCAGGACTGTGGCTCTGGTACTGCCAGGGTGTGGCCTTTGAAGGACTTCAATAAATATCCTTTTTATTGCTCTAAATATCAGTTTTATTGCTCTGAACTCCATCCAGCCTCTGTTCCAGCTCCTTAAAGCATCAACTCCACAAGGAGCTGCTCCTGCTGGGGAGCTCTCTGTGGCTTGGAGACCATGAGGCAGCTTTGGAACATTTGTTCATAAACAAACAAAGCTTGGGGGTGTTGGGCCAAATTCTGAGATGCCCAAATTCCTTTTTCCTGACCCCAATTCACACTCCTGCTCTGAGCCAGCTTCTCCTCCAAGCCTTTGCTCCCCAGCAGAGCTGTGGGATCAGCACATGGGCAGCTCTATGGGGCTGTGGGGATGGAGAGGAGCTGCAGCTCCAGCCCCAGCACACAGCACTGCCCTGCTGCTGCCAGCACTGTCCTGGGCAAAGCCTGGCACCTGGGAACAAGGAATGCAGCCCTGAGTGGGGTGGGCACCTCCACCTCCAGCATTGACCCTGCCCTGAGGCACTTGGGCATCTCTGCCCTGTTCCTGGGCTTGGCTCCAGCACCAATAGGATGAAACTCAGCCTCAAATATCTGTAGATCCCACCTGGAGAAGGTTGGAGAAGAGCTGGAGAAGGATGGAGATGCCCAAGAGCCCAGGTGAAGCCTCTTCCCAGGCCAGTCAATCTGCTGGATGAAGTGGCCAATGAACCCTGTGGATGTTACTGTGTTATTCCCTATCTCCAAAGGGAATGTGGGAGCGAAGCTGGGCAGCCCTGTGTTCTCCTGGTGGGAATCACTCCTGGCACTTCTGCAGGGCATTCCCAGAGGCAGTGAGGGGGTCACACCACGCCTACACTGCAGGAAAGGGGCCCCAGAGCATCTGTGGGTACAAAGCCCAAGGGTGAGGGGTTCTCCTGCCCTGGCCCTGAATCTTTATGGGCTTGGGAGACACTTCCATCCTTTCAAAAGGAATTAGGGGCATAATTACCCCAGGGAGCTGGTCCTGACCTCCCAAAACACGAGCCCAGCCTCTGCAGTGCTGCTTCAATTCCTGCTGATGATGGGGCAGCCCTGAAGGAAGGCAGGGGGCTGCAATGAGGGATTTGGGCAGCCTGTGGCTGTGTGACCCTGCTCTAACACACCAGTCACTCACGGCTTAACAGGTGATGCCCTGGATGGCTTTAGCAGCATCCCTGGAATCAGGCTTTGAGCACAGGGCAGGTCTGCCAGGATGAATCCAGGAAAAAAGCTGGTGAAAGGGAGTGCCTCAGCACAGGTGATTTATCCTGAAAATTCCACTGCACGTAGGATAAACCATCCTGAGACTGAGGGATCATTCCTCAGTGACCTGGCAGCTCTGTCTTTGTGTACAGGAACAGTTTGTGGTGGTTTTCAATCAGCTGGTGACATTGCACCTTTCAGAATAAAGCAGGGACAACCAGGGTGAAAGGCTGGAAAGCAGGAAGGCTTCAAGGAACACCACGCTTCCACCTCCTGATGCATTGCCTCTGCTTTGCTGGCCTTTAGCAATCCAACATTTCTACTGCCTCAGGTTCAAAATGCAACTGCTCATAACTGAGGGGTGGTTGTTTGCATGTGCTGCCTCTCCACCACATTTTGGGGCCATCTCTGAGCCTGGACCTGAACAGCAAATGTGCATTTGAGCATCTGGGCTGCAATTACTGCCTGGTATTGCTAATCACGAGTGCCATGATGAGCTCAGCTCCCACCCTTCTGTCATGGCATTACTGCAGTGGGCAAAGGAATTCCTGCTGGAAAGCTGCTTGGAAAATGTGGCACTGATCAAACAGTGATCTCGTGGAGCTGTGTGAGCCTCCTTCCTCCTGCACACAGCCAAGGCAGTGGGAAATAAAGGAACGTGGGATGCAGCCTGGCATTCCCAAAGTGCTGGGGCTGCTGTAGGCTGGGACATCACTGCTCACCTCCCCCTCTGCCCCAGGGCTGCTCTCAGCCCTGTCCACGTGCATTTGGCACTGGGATGTCACTGCTCCAGCACTAGGGCTTGGGAGGGGTGTTTGGGGATGGGCTGACACCAGCTTTGGGTGTAGCAGGGGATGGATGCCAGTGTTCTCTGGCTGTGACAGTCAGCCAGCAGTGCTTTGTCCCTGTCACTGCTGCAGAGACCCCTCCTGGGGCCACTGAGCTGCAGCCAGCAGCTCTTGCCTGGGTTGTCCCCTCTGTCCTTGTGGCCATGGAGCAGCTTTATCCCCAGCTCTGCAGGGCAGGGCAGAGTTGTGCCTCCAAAAGCCCAGGGTGACACTGGCAGAGTCACCTTCCCTTCCCAGGCAGCTGACAGCATCTGGGTGGCATCTCTGGCACTGACCTGAACATGGCCCCAAATGCCCCAGGACATCCTGCCCAGACATTTGCTGTACAGGCAAAAAACCCCCCCCAAAAAAACAACAAACCAAAACCAAACCATTGGCAGAAGGCAGATTTGGAGAGTTTGGAGGGGCAGTGAGTGACTCCCTGGGGACAGGGTCACAGCAGCTCAGTGCCCAGCCACAGGCAGCAGGGCCACGTCTGTGGTGGTGGCCAGGAGCAGCCAGGGACATGCTCTGTGCAAAGGGATGCTCTGGGAAGTGCCAGAGGGAGGGAGGGAGAGAGGCCCAGAGATCCAAGAGTGGAGGAGAGCAGTGATGACAGCAAGGCCTTGTAAAAAGTGAAGGTGCCTCGTGTGGAGACACCTGAGAAAACTGATTGTGGCACAAGCCTGGGTGGAGGTGGATGGGAGCCTACATCCCCGAGGATTCCTGTTTAACACCTGGACACCCACCGAGGCTGGTGGATAGGTAAAAATGTCACAACTGTTGCTTCCTGTATGCTCAAAATGGAATTTCCCTTGCCTTGCCTTCCCCTCAACCCTCCCATGCAGACTTGGAGAGAGGCAAAGCAAAAGCCAGCCTTTGGAAAAATCCTCTGCTGTGTTTAACACAGCACTTCTATAAATTACAGTGCTGTGATTTTTGAAGTCTAACATTTAGAAAAATTGATGGTAGTTTGGGAAGCTGTAACCACAGCTCGCTGCAAACCTGGGATCCCTGTTCTCCAGGAGATATCCTAAATTCTGCCAATCCAGATGGCAAAGTTTTAATCTGACAGCCAGTCTGGGATGAAATATTGCTGGAGCTCAGAGCAATGCAGTTCTCTGGCCCATATTTTAGCATATCCATATTTGTGGGAGGGAGCAAACATCTCTCTCAGCAGTCTAAAGTCTGAAATATTGGTCATTGCAGAGGAAGGGATTAGTGCTCCAGGCACGGCTGAGCAGTAAATGAAAAGCTCGTTAGTGCAAGATGTATGGAAGGAGCTGATGTGTGTTATGGCCCCAGCCCCACGTGAGCAGTCCACGTGCAGCTGAGCTGCAGGATTTGTGTCATCTCTGCTCCACCTCCTTCCCCTCAGGTGGCATCCCCTGGGAACCCAGAGAGCCACGTCCTGTGAAGGTCCAAAGGGTCCCAGGGCGGGAGGAGCAATGTGCCTGAGCGCTGCACAGGGGAGCTTGGCTGAGAGGCTCCTGGAAGGAAGCCAGGGATGTCCCGGGGGTGGTGGGAGCCTGCTGGGGCTCTGGACGGGTCTGGCTGTGCCAGAGCTGCATTTTCTAACCAGGATTTGCCATTCCACACCACACTGGTGCAAGACCACATGGCTGAGTCTGAATCACAAGGTTCTCCTCACCCCTCACACTTTTTTCTTCTTTTTCTGGAAAAGTCTTCAGTTCTCTCATGGTTTCCCCTTTTGCTACACCCACCTACAAGCCCAATACTAATTTTAGTCTTTTCCTCCCAACCTCACACCTTCCAACTCCCTACTCAGCCCCTCGGTCTCCTCACTATGAGACTGGCATCAAAATCATGACAATTTATAAATAAAACACATCTGGGGACTTTGTTATTTAGTTCTGGGTTCCTGAACCTCCAGGGCACTCCTGATACACCTTTCCAAGTTTCCCCTTCTGCAGCCAGAAACAGGAACTTAATGACATTCCCCTGACTCCAGAGTCTGGGGCTTAAATGAAAATCTTCACCTCTTGTGGAAATCAGGATAAATTCTCTTGAGCGGAGGGCTCACTGGCATCTGTAACACACTCCATGTGCCACAGACCTCTCCATGTCCCACCTGTCCCCTTGATCCCTGGGCTGTTCTCCTCAGGACAGGCTCCCTTGGGATTTCCCCCAGCCACCTCCTTGGTTCACCTTTATTTGTCACTCCAAGGGCTTCCCACTTTCTTCCCTTCTCCTCTCCCTTTGACAATCACTCTTCTCTTTCCCTAAATGATCCCTGTTCCCTGTTTCCCCCCACACCCAGCACCTCTGTGCCCACTCCTGCTCCCTGGCTGCAGGGGGGTGCTCCTCTTGCTACCCCTCCTCTGCCCACCCTTCTCCAACCCTCTCCAGGTCCAACACCTGCCCAGGAGGGACCGTGCCCAGATCTCCCAAAACCACAGGCACTGGCCAACCTTGGGCTACCCCAGGGGCACTGCCAAGGGAAGGTGTTGCCCTGATTTTTAAGTGTTAAGTTTTCTTTTATAGTTCTTTTGAAAGTTTTAAAGTTCTCATAAAACTTCTTTAGCCTTCCAATAATGTTTACATACTACTACTGGAGTTTTTCACACACTGTCATGTAAATAATTATTGTTTTGCATTCTTCTTTGTGGGAGGAGAGAATTGATGGACTGTTGGTTTGACCAGCATGGTTGGAGAGGTGGCAATTTCACCCTCCAATACCACTGTCACTTTCGGAATTCTATATATTGCAAAGTCAGAAATAATATTAGCTCTTTTTTCTCTTTTGAATTTACCAAGCTTCTGTGTGCTCATTTCATGTCCAACAGCGACAGGAAGGAGCCCCTGAGAGAAGCTCTGGATGTGCAGCAGTGCCCAGGCTGCTGGGGCAGGCAGCAGGGAGCTCAGGGCACTGGCTGGGGGGTGCTGGAGGGCAAACACCAGCCCAGAGACCTCACCCACTGTGGTGAACACCTACCTGTACAAGGCAGAGGCTGCTCTCTTCAGCCCTTTGGGTCTGTTGGGTTTGGGCTCCCCGGCCATGTTGATGTCTGCAAGGAAGGGACACGCAGCTGTGACATGGCACATCCCTGCCCCCCTTCAGCTGGGGGGGATGCACGCAGCCCTGCCAGAGAGAAACCAGCTCCCCACACCCCCCACCCACTCACACCTGCTTCTGGCACGGCTGGGGCCTGCTGGGGCTCCACAGGAAGGTGAATAAAGCCCTGCACTTGGGAAACCTCTTCCTTCTCCTTTCCAGAGACACCCACCATCCCCTGAGCAGTCAGCACCCTGCACATGGTTCACTCCATACACACAAACCCAGAGCAGCTTCCTTGGGAGAATTCAGTGAGATAAGGCAAAATCCAGACCTGCTGCAGGGTGCTGACTGCTGAGCACCCACCCCTGGGTTATTCCCCTTTGGGAATAACCAGCCAGGCGGGCACTGCTGTGGATACTGGGTTAAACTCTGCATGCTGCCCGAGCTGCTCTCAGGGCAGCATCTTCTGCCAGGGGAGGGGAGAAGGAGCTCCTCTAATCCCCTGAGGGAATGTCACTCCCTGGCCATGGTGCCAAACGTGCTCTTGATGTGAGAATGAAGTGACACAGCCGATTTCATGGAGCAGCCGAGAGCCTGACAATCCCACATTGGTGTGGAGCCAGAACTCAGAGAGGTGAGCAGTGGCAAATTCCCCACTGCCTTCTCCAACCAGCCCTAAACCTGCTGGTTTTTCAGGGCCTATGTGTATGAAGAGGTGTCAGACCTCTGGGCATGTCAGATCTGAGCTGAGCAAGACAGGGTTTCCTCATGTGCACCAGCAAGCCCACCATGGAACCATGGCCCTCAGACATTATAGGAATAAAGAAGAGCATTTATGTAAAAACCCCTCATATTTCAAAAATCCAAGTAGTGGAAGGTGAAGGAGTGAAAGAACAGCTGCTGAGTCCATGGGGTTGGTAAAAAGCCTCATCAGCTGGTGTGAGGCCACTGATGATCTCCAGGAGGAGCCACACTGTGTTCCTGGAAAAGGCTGGCTGGATTCAGGAGACTCTTCATCACAGCTGGGTCACCTTCTGAACATGCTGGTCCTCAGGGGTGTGCCTTGACCTGCCCTGAGGGACCTGGTCCCCCACAGAGAACCAGGGGCTGAGTGTCCCACCCATGGGCACATCCTGCAGCTCCATGAGACCAGTGCCCCACGGGAGCTTTGAGATGGACCAGAGAGGTGGTGGGAGAAAAAGATCCCAGAATGATTTGGGTTGGAAGAAATCATCCCTGAAAGCCCATCCCATTCCACCCCCTGCCATGGCAGGGACACCCTCCACTGTCCCAGGCTGCTCCAAGCCCCATCCAGCCTGGCCTTGGACACTGCCAGGGATCCAGGGGCAGCCACAGCTGCTCTGGGCACCTGTGCCAGGGCCTGCCCACCCTCACAGGGAGGAATTTCTTCAATGATGCCTTACTTTCTGCTACCTGCACCTTAGGGGCCATCCAACCTACTTTGAGCACATCAGGCCATTCAAAACTTTTGATTTTTCATGTTTTATGAAGGGACATTATTAGGAAATGCGGTGGGTCCACAACCCATCCAAATGAAGAGCCTACAGGGTGATCCAAAGGAACTTCCTGCTGACTTAGGTATTAACCTGGAGAATCATCTCAGGGAGCACAGGGGATGAGCTGAGCAGGAGGAGCACAGGCTGCACACGCAGGACACGACTCCAGAGGAGCATGGACATGCTCCCACTGCCCAGGGCCTTGCTGTGCAACTCCCTGGCTGCCTTTTAGGGTCTGGCAGGAGACTTTATTCCTGCTGAAGCTGAGCTTGGCCTCCTTCTGAGCTTGAACAACAAATGTGTGTGCTTGGCTCAGCCACGGCCCCGAGTGCTGCTCTGGGGGCACATTCCCACCAGAGCCTGGGTTTGCCTTGCTGCTCTCCTCCCTCCACCCTGCCCTTCCCAGCTGAGGAGAGCACTGAGCCTGATGGTGAGAGGGCTGCATGTGGGCACAGGGCAGGTGCAGAGCCAGCTGCTGCCAGCAGAAACATTCCACACACAGCCTGCTGGGCCACCAAGACTGCTGGCACTGCCAGGGAACAAAGGGATCAGTCAGACACAGCCCTGCCCAGCTGCAGCTCCCTGGCTCTGAAACCTTTCTGCTACCAGGGTGCAGCTCCCAGCTGCCAGTCACTGCTCCCACAGACAGGAGAGCCCCTGGCAGCACCAGGCTGGGAACACTCTGCAAGGGAGCAGCATTGGAAGCCCAGGAAAGAAGGACAACAATCAGCTCCATGTCCTGGGGTACAACATGTGGCTGGGGCTGTGCATTCTGTCAGCATCTGTCAGAGCTGGGGCAGGTCTCTGCTGCTCCCTGGGCAGTTTTTTCTTCATCTCTCCCACAGCCAATCCTCCCTGCAGGAGATCTCTGCTCTCCATGGCCACTGAGTGTCCCTGCATGGCTGAGAAAATTCCAGCATCCATGGGGAGATGCTGTGCCCAGGGGAGGAGCCAAGCATTCCTACCTGGATCCAATCTGCCTTTGGAACCCCACAGCAGCCTTTGCCCCCTGCATTCCCAGAGGAGCAGCTTTCTTCCCCCTGCATTCCCAGAGGAGCCCAGGCCCATCTCCCCCAGCCCTGGAGCTCCAGAGGAAAACTCCCCCCTTGTGCAGGATCCTGCTCCAGCAGAAGCACAGCTGGCACTGCAGGAGGGCTGAGCCACCCTGGGATGGGGCTGAGCCACCTCCCTGACCCACAGGGGACAGGGCTGCTCTCACTCTGCCAGTGCTGTTTTCTATTACTGCATTGTTTATTTTATTTTCATTTTATTCCCTAGTAAATAACTGTTATTCCTACTCCCATATCTTTGCCTGGGAGCCCCTTAATTTCAAAATTATAACAGCTTGCATTTTCCAGTTCAGGGGATGCTCCTGCCTTCCTTGGCAGACACCTGTCTTTTCAAACCAATACACTTCATTTGCTGATCCCCACTGCTACAAAGAGCCCTGTGGAACCCTCTCTGGCACCTGACAACAGCAGGGAATTTATACTCTCAGCTATGGTAGTGATGGGCAGTCAGATCCCACAGGATTCCCTTGAGAGTGAAAAAGGAGAGACAAGAGCTCAGCAGGAACATCAGCCTGGACAGATTTTGCTTCTCATTCCCATTCTGGCTCCCTCCTCTGCATCACTGACTCCATCTGCCCACCCCAAGCAGCACTGATCCCTCCTGCTCATACCCAGGCACCTGTTCCCACACTCAGTGGGGATGTTTTGCTTTTCAGTCCACGTGGCAAGGGCAGGGGATGGTGTGGATCCAGCTTCCAGTGCCTCCCTATGGCAGCTGCCTCCTGCAGTGACTGGGGTGACTGCAGAAGGCACCCAGAGGCTGCCAGGACCTGCAGGGACAGTCCCCTCAGCAGGGTGTCTGCAGTGTCCCCTGGCAGTCCCTGCCTGTCCTCCCTCTCCTCGTTCCTACACGGCCACCCCTCCTCTATTTAGAGAAAAGCTTCCAGCCTTGATTGTCTCAGCACAGCTCTTCTCTCCTGGGTTCCCCTGCAAGGGGAACATCCCAGAGCTCACTGCCCCAGGAACATCCCAGAGCTCATCCCAGAGCTCACTCCTCCAGGAACATCCCAGAGCTCACTCCTCCAGGAACATCCCAGACCTCACTCCTCCAGAAACATCCCAGAGCTCACTCCTCCAGGAACACCCCAGAGCTCACTGCCCCAGGAACACCTCAGAGCTCATCCCAGAGCTCACTGCCCCAGGAACACCCCAGAGCTCATCCCAGAGCTCACTCCTCCAGGAGCAGCCTGACAAGATCTCCTGTGCTCAGCCTGGCCCATGCAGATCAAAGGCAACTGAGTTTGCAGCTCGTCCAGAACATGAACAGGACACCCAGCTATCACACAGTCCTTCTGCCTTCTTCTGGAATTCCAGGTCCTTGGGACCAGCAGAGATCAGGGGTTTCAGAGGTTTTCTGACAGGAGGTTTTCCTCACAGCAAACCTTTCATCTCTCTCTTCAGCTAAGTGACCAGGTGCTCCCTGTCTCTTGGCCACATCTCCTCTGTCTCTCTGGAGCATTACAAGGAGCTCCTGGGTTCCCCAAGGCTCTCTCCATCCTAGCTCAGGCTGCACATGAGGGCAACACCTGGGCTGGAAGCATTCCTGGCACGCTGAGCTCTGCCAGGTCTGCAGCTCCGCTCTCTGGAGCTCGAGAGAAGTGAGCAGAAGTTTCTGGTATCTGGATAAACCTCAGAGGAAGCAGCATGGCCTCAGCATGACCTCCTGTGTCAGGCTGCTGTGCCAGCAGCAGGGTGGGAATGGGCTGCAAATTGCTTTCCTGAGTGCTCACTGCCTGCAGCAGGCTTGGAAATCACCATTTTTCATTAAAAATCCTCTCCCCAGTTCCAATTCTCAGCTTGGAGCTGGTGACACCTCAGAGCAATCTGAAAAAGCAAAGATGCAGCTGAGGGGATTTGCTTGTTAGTTCTCATGCCACAGCAGTGCAGACGTGGGGGAAGTTCTCTTGTTTAACATCTGCTGGCTGGAGTTAGGCTGAGCTGGTGTGCAGATCAGCTCTCCTGACAGGCTAAGGCCTGGTCCAGGAAGGGAATCACTGAATCCAAGGATGGGATGGGTTGGACGGGACCTTAAAGCCCACCCCCTGCCATGGCAGGGACACCCTCCACTGTCCCAGCTGCTCCCAGCCCTGTCCAGCCTGGCCTTGGGCACTGCCAGGGATCCAGGGGCAGCCACAGCTGCTCTGGGCACCCTGTGCCAGGGCCTCACCACCCTCACAGGGAACAATTCCTTCCCAATATCCCATCCATCCCTGCCCTCTGGCAGTGGGAAGCCATTCCCCTTGTCCTGTGCATGTCTTTGGTACCAGGCAGTGTCTTTCCCCACCCTTGTTCTTCCCCAGCAGTTCCAGAACAAGGCCATGGGATGACCCAGAACTGTGGTTTTGCTCTTTGGCTCCCACAGTCACAGCCCAGAGCTGAGGTTTTGGGCCACAATATCACACAAGCCTCTGATCCCATCCTACACAGGAGCTGAGAGCCTTCAGGCCCTGCCTGGGGTGCTGCTGGAATGCTGGTCTCCAGCTCTGTGCCTGGCAGGAGTCCTGCTGACCCTGCCCTGCCACTCTGGCCCTGCTGGGTCATCTCTGACCCTCTCTACAGATCCAACATCCCAGTCTGACTGGGCACTAGCCATCCCTTCACCATCTCCCATGGAACTGGTGCTGTTTGGGTTTTGCCTTTTTTGTTCTTTTGTATGTTCTCTGTACTCTTCACACATGTATTTGTAGCTGTGTAGCCAATTGTATTAGTGATTAATTTTCCCAGTAATTTTCCATTGTCTTTCCCTAGACAGAAAACCAAACAAAATCCAGAGCTCCAAGCCCCAGGGGTACAGAACCCCAGAGCTGTCTTGGTTCTTCCTGGGAACCAAGGCCATGAACAACTCTTGGAGATCCATTTGTGGACAGGGAACAGCCAGTGCCCAGGGGGACTCCAGAGAAGGGGCTTGACTTGGGGGGGAATTGCATCACCACATGTGCTCCTGACTGGTGCTTTTTATAAATTATGCTAATTTCCTAATACCTATAAAAATGTACTCACCCCTGTTATGGTGGGGTGGGTTTTTGTGGACATCATTCCATAACTGCCCCCGAAATCCTTCAAATAAAAATCTACTTATATATCCACAGAATTCACAGAATGACCAGGTTGGAAGAGACCTTTAAGGTCATCGAGTCCAACCCAGCCCAACACCTCAACTGAGCCCTGGCACCCAGTGCCACATCCAGGCTCTGTTAAACACACCCAGGGATGGGGACTGCACCACCTCCCCAGCAGCCATCCCAGAACTTTATCACTCTTGCCATGAAAAACTCTTTCCTAATATCCAACCTGAATTTCCCTTGGTGCAGCTCAAGGCTGTGTGCTCTGGTTCTGTCAGTCCCTGGAGAAAGAGCCCAGCCCCAGCTGAGCACAGCCACCTTTCAGGAGCTGTGCAGAGTGATGGGGTCACCCCTGGGTCTCCTTTTCTCCAGGCTGAGCACCCCCAGCTCCCTCAGGGGTTCCTCACAGGGTTTGTGTTCCCAGCCCCTCTCCAGCCTCACTGCCTCCTCTGGATGTGCTCGAGCATCCCAAGGTCCTTCCCAAACTGAGGGGCCAGAACTGGGCACAGCACTCGAGGTGGGACCTCACCAGTGCCCAGCACAGGGGCAGAATGAGCTCCCTGCTCCTGCTGGCCACACCATTCCTGATCCAGGCCAGGAGCCACTGGCCTTCTTGGCCACCAGGACACACTGATGGCCCATGTTCAGCCAGGTGACAAACAGTGCCCCCAGGTCCCTTTCTGCCTGGGCTCTGACCAGCCACACCATCCCCAGCCCATGGCATTGCAGGGGTTATTGTGGCCAAATGGACTGGGCACTTGGATTTATTAAACTTCATCCCGTTAGACTCTGCCCATCCATCCAACCCTTCCAGCTCTCCCTGCAGAGCCCTCCTACCCTCCCAGCTTAGTGTCATCCACAAATTTACTAACAGAATTCAATCCTCTCGTCCTGTGAGCTGCTGCTTGGAGAGAGAGACCAACCCCCAAAATATTACCTCCTTGTTAAAATGATCCCCGGTTTCTTTTCCAAAAATGAGGAAAAATGCCACAGCACAGCCCACCCAGCAGGCTACTTGTGGATGTGACCGTCTGGTCAGAGAGAGAAAGCTAGATAAGCATTCCCATTAATTGTCTGGGAAATATTAGGGAGCTGGAGAGAAAATGGTAAATAATACACAAGTGGCGGTTTTTAGCAAGTTGTTTTTCTCCTAAAGTTGTTTACCAATGGATGTCTTCTTAATTAGCCAATCATGTGAAATGTGTTGATTAAATGACCAATCGGGACCTACTTGTACTGAACCAATTGACTAAATGGGCTGCTTTTAACCCTTTGCCTTCTGATCTGAGTCTGGGTCATCTCTGATTTAACTGTGACAACTCCTGGGGGAACGGGCACAGCACAGCCCACCCAGCGGGCTGCTGGGGGAAAAGGGCACAGCCCAGGCAGCAGCTCCTGGGGAAAGGCCCAGCACAGCAGCAGCTCCTGGGGAAAGGCCCAGCCCACCCAGCAGGCTGCTGGCCGCGGCGAGGGGACTCACCCAGGCTCTGGCCGGCCAGCACGCGGCCGTTCTCGCCCAGCACGGCGGCGCGCGCGTGCCGCTCGTTGGAGTACTGCACGAAGGCGTAGCCCTTGTGCACGGAGCAGCCGACCACGCGCCCGTACTTGGAGAAGATGGTCTCCACATCCGACTTCTTCACCACCGCCGTGTTGAGGTTGCCGATGAACACCCGCGAGTTGATGGACTTGGGGTCATTCTTGTTGGTGATGTTGCTGGTCTGCACCTTCAAGGACATCTTGGATGCCTGCAAGGATAGGTGGGGAGTCAGGAGGGTGTGAGAAGGAATTCACAGAAAAACAGATTGGGGGCAAAGCTCTCAGTGGAGGAAGAAGCTCCTCCATTTCAACTGGTCACAGTGGGGCAGATCGCATCTCTAGGAGCCCCTGAGTCTTGGGAGACCACTGGCACAGTCAATCCTAAACTCTTGCTAGAAATTAATTGATCAGGCTGACACCTGGTTGGTTCTGCGCAGGACCAGGAGCTGAACTTTAATGATGGCTTGTGGGTCCCTTCCAACTCAGGGTACTCCGTGATTCTAAGGTTGCTTTTAGGGGTGAAACCAAGATTTAAATCCATTTCACATCTAAGTAAAACCTTTAATGCTGTCGCACCAAAGCTTTTACCATCTCTATGCTAAATCACAATTCAAAGAACTCTTTCTGAAGCAGTCTGCATCCAGCACCTTGGTTCATGCCCACTTCTCCAGGCTTTCCCCTGCCAACACTTCCCAGCCCCCACTATGCACAGGGATGGGTTTGTCCCTGTGAGGCCACACTCACACCAGAAGGGGACTTGGGGTTTCTGGATATGAAAGAAGACACGTAAGCAGTGATCAGCCCACACGCTCCTGCTGGCACCCGCGCAGCGCTGCCTGCACGCCGGGATTCGGGCTGGATTTTGTGCAAACAGGAGGTGTCACTGTTAGCCTGGAAATCACATCACATCAGCTGGGAGCCAACCCTTTCCCGTGGCTGCACGGCAAACTCCTCCTTGGGCAGCACTGGGAACAGGTTTGCCCTCTGAGCACGAGGGACGGGGCTGAAGTCCTGTGAAACCCAAGGCAGTGTGGCCTGTCTGCTCCAACTCCTGCAAAACCCACAGCTGTGCAGAGAGATCAGCTGGGTTCCCACCTTCCAGAGCCAGAGGGAAGTTTGGGACTCCTGCTCTGCTGCACACACAGAGTGTGGGATTGACCCAGGAGCTGTGCAAGGTGTTTTGTGATGCACACGGAGGTGCTGCTCTTCCCCAGCCCCTTCCTGCAGCAACCACAGGTGTTCCCACTCCCAAGGACAACACCACCAAGGTGTCCACAGCTTCTGGAGGTCCCCAAGCCTGGCACAGGGGTTGTGCTGCTACCACAGGGCCTGGTGTCCTCTGCCTAGTGGTCCCCAGCTCCTCTCCTGGTTCTGCCTGGCTCCAAGCCCAAGTCTGAACAGCCTGGTCCGAGGTGGGGACAGCTGGTGACATTGCACATTTCAGAATAAAGCAGGGACAACCAGGGTGAAAGGCTGGAAAGCAGGAAGGCTTCAAGGAACACCACGCTTCCACCTCCTGATGCATTGCCTCTGCTTTGCTGGCCTTTAGCAATCCAACATTTCTACTGCCTCAGGTTCAAAATGCAACTGCTCATAACTGAGGGGTGGTTGTTTGCATGTGCTGCCTCTCCACCACATTTTGGGGCCATCTCTGAGCCTGGACCTGAACAGCAAATGTGCATTTGAGCATCTGGGCTGCAATTACTGCCTGGTATTGCTAATCACGAGTGCCTGCCCGCACTGGTGCAGCCCCTGTGGGCGCTGTGCCCCCGGTCCCCCAGCCCTGGCAGGCTCTGCTGCCCCAGCCCAGCCTGCTCGAGGCTCTGCCAGGGCAGTGTGGGATGTTCCAGCTTTGCTGAGCCCTAGGCCATGCAGTTCCTTTCCTACACCCCTGCTCTGGCAGGCTGAGCCTGCCAAAAGGCAACAATATTTTGGGGTTGCATTCAAGACTTTCCAAATCCCCAGTCCTGCTTCTTCTCTGTGCTCTCCTGCACAGAGATTCCTCACAGGACACACAATCTCTGGTTGCTTCTCTCTCCTCTGTTAGAGGGGAGAGCATCATCACACCCACCTCACCCTTCGCCAGGGGAGCCCTGTTTGGGATTTTTGTGGGAAAGGGATTTGTAGAAAATTCTCAAGAAAAACTTGAGAGAAGTAGCTAAAGCTGATAGGCCGAGAAACACTTATAGGGTATTGTAATTAAGTAATAGTTAATTTCTGATTGTAATGACATAAATTATAACACCTGTATTATCTCACCCTTCTCATGAGACTGAAAATAAAATCAAATCTCAGCTGCTCCATCTCTAGGTCAGAAAAGAGCATAATCCAACAAATGTTTTCCCTTCTGGCCTCCCAGCCCCTCGGGATCTGCTCCTGCCACGGTCCCACCCTGCCCCAGGGTGCCCACACAGACAAGCAGCAGTGTTGGGACTCACCAGCACCACTCTAAATCCCAGCATCTGAAATTCCAGTCCAGGGAGACGGGAGGAGACTGCCCCATCCCCAGAGGCAGAGGGGGTTTGCAGCCTGAGGGTGCTGGAGCCATCCCCCAGCAATGGGCTCTGTGCCCAGCTGCCAGGGCTCACAAAGAGCTGGACACTCCATCCCTGTCACCACCGACAGCCAGGCCACACCGAGCACTGAGACACCTGGCAAGGCTGAGCCTCTCTGTGAGCATGTGGCTCCACAATACATCTCTGGCTCCAACCCCTGCCACTCCATTAACCTGCCATTGAGGCTGGAAATAATCTGCCTGCTAAATCCAATCATAAAAAAAAAAAAAAAAAAAGTTAGACTCTGAATCTGGCTCATTGTATTTTGCCTTTCACACTTAGATTAAAATATCCAGATACTTTTGTTTTATTGCTTTAAAACCAATTCCTGGCAGGCAGAGTTTTCCTTAAAACACTGGGAAAAATAGCCAAAGGACAGGACTTTCAAAGGAATCTAAGTGAATTCAATTCTCAGCCTTTGGCAAGTGTTGCTCCAACTTCCACCCCTATATCAGCCCTTGTTTAATGATCTCTATTTGAACTTATTTTTGCAGTGCCACCTGGAAGAGGTTCCCAAAGGAAACTGGTGCAGATGGGGAGAAATGGAGGCTCTTCCCAGCTCTTTGGTCACTCTGGGCACCCAGCTCAAGCCTCAAAGACTCATTTCACAGAAATCCTGAGTATCTGCACCAAGCCCAGCTGGAGGCTGCTCCAGGGTGCCCAGTGCCCAGGGAATCTCCATCCTGAACGTGCTGGGAGTGCCTGAGGCTGTGCAGGACCTTCACAGAGCCTGGACACTTGTGAGGTATCTGCAGCCGGGTGGCCCTGGGTGGCCTTGCTGCCCCGAGGACACATCAGACCTGCTGTGAGCCCTCACTGTCACACCGGTGGCTCCAGCCCGTGGCTTTACACCTGGTGACTCCTGGAGCTCCTGAAACCTGTATTTTCTTGTTTCAGAGCCAGCCTGCCCTGGCAACTCTTTTCCCCACCCCAGGCCATGCCATGGGGACACCCTTGGTCCCTCTAAGCTGCTGCCCCTCTACAGGATGCCTTCCCACTTTTCCAGCCTCATCTGCTGGAGTCAGGGCAAGTCTCCAACCCATTTTCTACCCACCCATGGCCCTCCTTTTCTTTCCAGACCTCTGAGAAATTCCCCTGGTCCCTGGGCAGAGTCTGTGCCCTTCTCCCCATCCTTGGAACCCAGCAGTGCCCACCTGGGTGCCAGGATGCTGCAGGACTGTGTCCAAAGCCTTCCCAAAGTCAGGGCAGACACCAACCATGTCACTTTGCACAGGAGAAAAGAGCTTGGTCACGTTTGGCCACACCATTGCCAGCACCTATGCTATGTACTATAGCATAGTTATAATAAAGAAATAATTTCCAGGTCTGTCCCTGCTGAGGAATGTTCCCTTCCTCAAAATCAGACACAGCACTCACACCAAATACTCCTGGCTCTGCTTTCACACCCCAGCACTGCAGAGCTCTACTGCTGCTACCCCCCAGTCCTAAATCAGGCAAAGCCCAAAGCCCCCCCAAGGACAAATCAGCCCAGTCAGGTAATATTTGCATGAGCATGAAGCTCTGCCCAGCTGTTTGCAGCTGCAAACCCCAATTCCATCAGGGGCTGAGCTCTCTAAGCCTGTGTAGGAGGGATGAGGGTTAAGCTGCCTCTGTGTCTGGGCTGGAACAGGCTGGAATTCAGGTGGGGATATAAAACGTTTGTTTTCCCCCAAATTTCATGGGCTCTCAGCAGGTGCCACGTGAGCCAGCTCTGCAGCTGTCAGTGGACCCTTCCCCATGTGGGTTTGTGTCCTAGGTTTGTGGCCTAGTTTGCTATTAAAAAAAAGACCTGGATGAAGGTGAGATGTGGGCAGGAAGGTTCTCTTCACTTGGAGAAGGAAATCTCCTAAGGCATCTCCCAAGATGAAGATTTTTGTTGCCATGGAGTTTGAGGGGCATTGGAAAAGGGGAACCTGTGCCTCTCCTGCCAATCCCCACATGACACCCTCCTTGTCTGGCTCCTGTGACCTTCCTGCAGCTGTGCTGTGCTTGTTCCCTGTGCTGTGTCCTCTCCTGCCCACCTGGGAAGCTGCATCCCAACAGTCCCATAAAGCTGGATATGGGATGAGCAACTTCCACTTGGGAATTCACTTAGGAATTCACTTAGGCTCTATAAAGCTGTACCTAAGGGTAGGACACCCCACACTGCAGGAACCAGTGCCAGAGCATGGAGCTCATCCCTTGGAATTCCCAGTGGCCCCGGGGCCACCTCGGGACAGGTCAGGTCTGTGCAGGGGACCTGCCTGGGCTGATGGGACGTGGGGCAGGGCCACCAGATGGCCAGGCCAAGACCAGGCAGGGTGATGGCCACGCTGCTGGGAGGGCTGGCAGTGGGACCCCAGTGTCCCTGCAGATGGGAGCTCTCCAGGGCCATCTGCCCACGCTCTGCTGGCCCTGCCCGCAGGGATCCAGCAGGGATTTGGCAGCAGGGACAAGGGAAGGACAGGGCTGGGAATGCTCAGAGGGTTTGGGCCCCACCACTGGCGTCTCCAAACCCCCTGGGCCCTGCTGTGCCAGCAGCCTGTGCACGGAGCTCTGCTGCTGCCACACATGGCATCCCCTGGAGAAATCAGCCTCCCCTTCTCCTCTGTCCCACTCATCTGGAATTTCTTCTTAAACACAGCAGTCACTTGGCACCTCTCACTGGCCTTACT